TTCTATCTAATGAGGACGGAGAATAAATAAAGTTGTAACTAGCACTCAACGCAGAGAGAGGTTAATCATACACGTGGCTTTTGATAAGAGAAAGACAGCAACCAATCAGCATCTCCGTATTTCTCCCTTCAGTTTCAATTCCGACAAGCTGACGTCATCACTATCTAGGATCCGTTGATTGGTCCGGTCGTTCACGTGTTCACAGTTAGGCTTTAAATCGGACCGTACGTTTATGTCAAGCCTTTTGTGCTCGCGTGTAGTCCTATCGAATTTTCAAATTTTTTTTTGTTTGGGGAACTTTGATTTTTTTTCATTCTCAACATTAACCTTCCGTTAATCCAAAATCAAGAAAATGGCATAAAAACTTCCACCACTAGACTTTAAACCTCCAAATTTTAGCACTAATACTTTAAACATCCAAGGTGACAATGTTAACATATTAAACTGTCAAAATATGAATTTTGGTCGTTTCGACATTTTACGGGACAGAACAGTTGACTCCATTCCGTTATGTTAATAAAACATGTTTCTATTTATAAAAAAAAATTAAAAACATGTGCATAATTAATTAAATAAAAACTCTCAAATCGATTTGGGAGCTAGGGTTTACGCGATTTTCAGAAGAAACAAAATTGGAAAAAAAAAATTCAGAGACGATGAAGAAAAAAGATTCAGCAATTGAAGGATATCTAGTAAGTTTTCAAATCTGTAGAGGTTAGGATTTCAATTTCTATGATATATGTTTCTGAATCAATATCTATAAAGATTGGTTGGTAACTCGAATTAAGGAATCAGATTTGATGATGATTATGTTGGTTGATAAAGGTGGACGCGAAACTAGTAATGTATTTGATGTGTATAGGTGTGTTTTGTGTAGAAGGCTCAAAGTTCAAGTTCGTCAACCATAGAATACAAAAATGACAATGGTGTTGTGTGTCTTTGCAAGTGTCCATCGAAGATTGTGAAAACTTGGACACATGAGAATCCTGGGCAGCTATTCTACAGTTGTGTGGTAGAGGACGTAGAATTATTAATGGGTATGAGTCTTGTAATTTTTTCCGTTGGTTTGATTTGGAAAACCTCACGGATGGCAATACTTTGCATTGTTGGAGGCAAGAGACCACATGCGTAAGCAAAAGGAAGAGATTAGGAAGTTAAGGGATAGGATTAATGAACTGATGCGAGAGGGCGAAACTGAAGAAATGAAATCCCTAGTGATATTGCGGGTGAGTTGAAGATTTACCGTGAAGAATGTGTCATGCTCAAGCAAGAGGTGTTGATACTAAAGGAAAGAAACAATGGTTTACGTAATGTTATCATCTCATCGTCAGTTGGATTTGCAGTGGTGATTGGGGTTATCTTGGCAATGTGGAAGTAGAGGAATATGAGTTGCAAGAAGACCTTGTGGTGTGGTGTGTTTTGAGTTATGTCTTTAAACCTTCGGATCTAATCACTACAAGAAAACACAGTTTTAGCATCAGCATAATACGATGCTAATACCTCTTAGCGTCGAATTAGCATTGAATTACATTGCAAGCTAAACCTAATTCGACGCAAAATTCGACGCTAAATTTGCAATGTATCAAAATTCGACGCTAATTAAACGCTACAACACAGTCGATACTAATTCGATGCTAAATTAGCATCGAACTTACGTCGCCGTTTGTTCGAGGCAACTATTCGATGCAAATTCGATGCATTCGAACTTACATCGAATTAGCATCAACAGCCACTCAATCCGACGCTAAATCAATGCTAATTTAGCATCGATTTAGCGTCGGATTGAGTGATTTAAAAAAAAAAAATTAAAATCATTTATATTAAAAAAATATTTTTTATTTTGAAATATATAACATCAGTTTTATTACAAATACAAATTTAAATTTTTTTATTTTATTTTGAAAATATTATAAAATCATTTTTAT